TTTTTTTGGAGAGGTTTTTGCTATAGGGCACGTGCGTTCACCAGACAGACAGAGAGAGACATAGAGACAGAAAGCGAGAAATCACCCCCCAAGGGGGATGGTCACGGCGCAATCCCTTCTCCTCCATTCTCCTCTCGGGATCTTGGGCACGTATGCACACACGCCCGGCGTGAGTTTTAAGCCAGCGGGTCCGGGACATGAACTGTGGTCGACTACGTGGGAGTCCAGTGACATAGCCATGACGCTAACTTCTGGTTCCCCAAAGTGAACATTTCAATATGTGAACATTTCTCTCCAATCTAGTTGATTAAAATATCTTCAACAGATAACCCCACTACTTCCCTCTCCCATCAATGCTTTGTCTCCATATCTCTCCTCCAAATGTCCTTGCCCAGGCCCCACTTCTCCACACACACCACATCTGGCATTCACACCCATCTCTTATGGTTTTATTCAGCACTTTGATATACAGAGCCCACTACATTCTGGCCTCCAAAGTTTCCAATCAGAAATATGTGGTTTATCTTACTAAGAATCCCATGTGTGATGAGTGGCTTCTCTTGTGCTGCTCTTCAAGTCCTCTTCTTGTCTTTGGCTCTCTACAGTCTGACCACAATGTGTCTCAGCATAGGGTGCCTTGAGTCCATCAAGCTTCTTGGATACTTATGTCCACATCATCAGTCAAATTTGGGAAGTTGTTGGCTGTTATTTCTTCAAACATTCTCTCTGCCCTTTTACTCTTACTTTTGCTTTCAAGACTTTCACTGTGCACATGTTGGTCAATTTGATCACGTCCAACTGGTCCCTTAGCCTTTGATTAATTCTCTGTCTTTTTTTCTTTATGTTGCTTCAGGCCTGATAATTTTCATTATTCTAATTTTCAGGTTCACTGACTCTCTCCTCTGCCTGTGAGTTTCTCTTGTGAATGTTTTATTTCAGAAATTGCATTTTCAACTCAGAATTGCCTTTTTATTTCTTTTGAGGTTTTTCCATCTCTTTGTTAATATTTCCATTTCCTTTGTTAATATTTTCCTGACTTTATCCATGTACTTTTTTAGGTCTCTGAGTAACTTTAAGGTAGTTGCTTAAACATCCTTACTGGTCTAGTAGATCTGCTGTTAGGTATTTTCAGCAGTAGTTTCTTCAGACTCCGGAAGTATGGGCCATACTTTTCTGTTTCTTTATGTGACTTGGGACTTCTGTTGTTCTTGAAACTAGACATGATAATGTGGTAACTCTGAAAATCTAATTTTCTTTATCCTCAGATTTTCCCGTTGTTTATCATTGTTTCTGCAGGTTACTGTTGTATCACCGTAGACAGTGTTTAGCAGAGAATATGTCAAGATGTAAAGTGAGGTATCCTGAGATCACTTCTGAGCCTGGAATGGGAAAGTAGGGTTCATTCTAATTTCCCACACATATGTAGCTTTTGTTGAATATACTTGTGTTTTAATGCATGGGTTTTCAGAAATTGAAAATGGAGGAGGCTAAATGTGCTAGCACTTTAAATCCCATGGAAGCTACTTGGTGAGGGAGAGGGGCTTGCAATGATGAAAGAAAGTGTGACAACAATGGCAACTTGCTTTTTTCTTGGCATCTCTGAGATCAAAGTAGTAATCTCTGGCAGAGCACAGATCCCAGTGTGTGGGCGGATCCTTATGGCCCACCCTGGCATCAGCTAGCTGCATGCAGATTGCTCCAGGGCCACCACACAACTGCCTGCCATGGGCAGGGGCAGGAGGGGTACTGGGAAGCTGCTGCTGCAATAAGCTCAAATAGCCACAATTGATTTCCCAAAATTGGCCTGGAAGTTGCAAGCCATCCTTAGGTTTAAGATTTATGGAATAGATCAATTTGACAGATTCTCTGAATAGCTAAGTGAGAAGACTGACTCTGGCTTCAACTGCCATGTTCACGTAAGTCTTCTAAAATTGCTCAGAGAGTAAGGGTGCAGCTGGGATAGAAATGCAGGCAGCTGCATACAGAGTCCAGTAGCTCCCAGGGCCCTGATTCTCTGTGGGGAGAAGGGAGATGGGGTGCGGGTTTGGAGGCTGCTGCTCGCTCAGGGAGGCCTGTCAAGCTCTGCTCTGTCCTGCAGGAATGGACCTGAATGGCGCTTCAACAGAACGAGGTTGAACCCAGATGTTCTGTCGCCCAAGGCCGTCCAGAAGTACATCCCCATGGTGGATACGGTGGCAAGGGACTTCTCAGAGGCCCTGAAGAAGAAGGTACTTCAGAATGCCCGGGGAAGCCTGACCCAGGACGTCCAGCCCAGCATCTTCAACTACATCATAGAAGGTGTGGGTCAGGTGGGAGGCTGGGGCCTCTGTGACTCTGCACAGGCAGGGAAGGGGCCAGGGAGGGCTGGCGAGAGGCAGCTGGAGGCCAGGCCTGTCCTCACTCAGCAGTGCATCCTCCCACAGCCAGCAACCTAACGCTCTTTGGAGAGCGGCTGGGCCTCTTTGACTCTAACCCGAGCTCGGACAGCCTGAACTTCATCCGTGCCATGGACGCCATGTTCAGGTCCACAGTGCAGCTCATGTTCATGCCCAGGAGTCTGTCACGCTGGACAAGCACCAAGGTGTGGAAGGAGCACTTTGAGGCCTGGGACTACATCTTCCACTATGGTGAGTGCCAGGGACCCGGTGGTCACCCACTTTGTGTAGGAATTCAGGCCATTCCTACATGAAAGGGCTCTGGCGTCCTCGTGGTGCAGCCTGGGAGAGCCGGCAGTGGGGCAGGGCTGGCTGGTCCTGAGATCTGGGCGTAGTAGTGAGAAGACATCATGGTTTGCGGGTGAGGTGCATAGGCAGGTAGCAGAGAGCTTCCCAGCTCTAAGGCCTGAGGGCCATTCTTCTTCCTGCTGCAGCTGGAAAGTGTATTCAGAAAATCTATCAGGAATTGGCTCTTGACTCCCCTCGCCGGTACAGTGGCATCGTGGCGGAGCTGCTGCTGCATGCAGACTTGTCACTGGAGGCCATCAAGGCCAACTCTATTGAACTCACAGCAGGGAGCGTGGACACGGTAAGATGGTGGCAAGAGCCCTTAGAGAGTGAAGCCCACCCTGACTCACAAACAGTGATGAAAGCCACCCGTAAACTTAATCTCCACTCTATGTCTTATTGATTCCTAATGTGCTCAGCTGAAGGATGATTTTGGAAGGCTTCCCAGAAGAGGGAGCCTTTCACCTGAATAGGGAAGAACAGCACAGAGACTAGACAGCCCATGAAAATGAAGGCAGAGGGGCAGCAGCCCAGAGCCTGGGAAAGCAGCCAGGCTAGGGACGGGCCTGGGGGAGGGGCAGGCTGATGGGCAGGGAGGGTCAGGGCTCCTATCAAGAAGGGCCTCCTGCACTGGGCCTCTATGCCGAGGCTAGGGGAGGCCCATGAGCAGAGCACGGAGGTCTGCTGTGTTCCTGCAGGACCTGTAGTGCCACAGGCAGAGCGAAGACTGAACCTCCTGGTCCAGGAGGGGAGGGAGACATTTCTGTAGCTCAGGAGCCTCCAGGCAGTGGGCCATGGTGAGGGCATTGAGCAGATAGTGGGGCACCCGTATCTCAGCTGGGGCAGGTGATACTAGCACTGTACGGCAATGACCCAGCAGGAGGAAGTGACCGGGTCTTCAGTGTCCAGCTTGGGTTAGGACCAGAGGCCTGGGTGTGGGGCCTGTGGATACCCAGGAGAGAAAATCCACTGGGAGCACATGGACATGGGTTCCAGATCCTGCCCAGTGATAGTGAGGGTCTGTCTGTCTTGGGGCCCACAGGACGATAAGAGAACCTATGAGTCCCATCCTCATGAAGAGACTTGAGGAGTCCTGGGCCTTGGTTGGGATTTGGGTCACCATTGTACTGGGGACTCAGGAAAGCAGACATCTGGACATCTGACCTTGAGGTCAGGGGTCCCAGGACTCCCCTACTCAGGGTGGGCACATCCCTGTAGGTCTATGAAGACAAATAGGGGAGGAGGGAGAGTCCCCTGTGAGGGGTCCCCTGGCAGCCAAGACGCATGGCCTGTGCCCAGATCTGACCTTGCGCCCTGGCTCCAGCAGACGTCCTTCTCCCTGTTGATGGCACTCTTTGAATTGGCGAGGAACCCCGATGTGCAGCAGGCCCTGCGGGAGGAGAGCCTGGCAGCTGCAGCCAAGATCTCTGAGAGTCCTGGGAAGGCGACCACGGAGCTTCCCCTTCTGCGGGCAGCCCTCAAGGAGACCTTGAGGTAGGTGCTGGCTCAGCCCTGCCCAGCTGCCCTGGCCCTCTGCTCACTGGGGGCTTGCACGTGGAACAGGGGGGACAAGCAGGCTTGCCTGAACCCACTCCCCTGCACCTCCTCTTCCTGTCTCCGGTGGAGCGGGATCTTCTTCCCTGGCACCCTATGCAATGGCCAGGGTGCTACCTCTCAGGTAGTCCTGGGGCTGCTCAAGGTTGGGAGGTTTGAACTAGCTGAGCAGGCACCAGGGAGTTCTTCTTCAAGACCCGGGCTTCCCGCTGTGGACCAGAAGCCCTGGTGGGGGCCTGGGTAGGACAGGTACCGGGCATGGGTCGGGTCTCATAGTGAGGCCCTTCCCCGGTGCTTATCTCCAGGCTATACCCGGTGGGTCCATTTGTGGAGAGAATGTTGAGCTCAGACCTGGTTCTGCAGAACTACCACGTCCCCGCTGGGGTGAGTGTCCCCCACTGCCCCTCTGTAGACCCTCCTGACACTTCCACAAGGGGCAGCTAACTCCTCCCTGCACCTGTCTGCAGACACTGGTCCAGGTGTCCCTCTACTCGCTGGGCCGGAACGCCGCCCTGTTCCCGAGGCCGGAGCACTACGACCCCCAGCGCTGGCTGCACCCCAGGGACCCCAGCAGGAGCTTCCACCACCTGGCCTTTGGGTTTGGCATGCGCCAGTGCCTGGGGCGGCGCCTGGCAGAGGCTGAGATGCTGCTGCTGCTGCACCACGTGAGCAGGCCTTGGCGGGGTTTGGCGAGATCTGGGCGGGCAAGGGCGGAGTCTGTGCAGTGGGGCGGGGTTTTGGAGAGAGGCCTGGCCTGTGTAGATTGGGCCCCAGAGAGGATCTGCCTAGCAGAGTGGCGAGCGGAGGCGTGTGGCCTGTACAGGATGGGTGGCGAGCGGAGTCGTGTGGCCTGTACAGGATGGAGCTGGGTCTGTGCAGGCCCAGGTTGGCAGTGTGGAGGAGCTCAAATATCCCTGACTGGATCTGGTTCGGATCTGTGGCATTTCCTGTCCCGCTGGACGGTTCTACCCTAGGAGGCTGGGAGGAGGCTGGATCAGAACCCTGTTTTGCTGAGCAGGCCACAGGGACTCCTGGCTCTGTCCTAGGTGCTGAAAGCCTTCCAGGTGGAGACCCTGTCTCAGGCGGATGTAAAACTGGTGTACCAATTCATCTTGAGACCCAGCAGCCTCCCCCTCCTGACTTTCCGGGCTGTCAATAGTCAGGCCTCCGATTGGAATTCCAGCTAAGTCACCAGCCTCTGTCCACTGTGACTCCAGGATTCCCCTCATCTTCCCAAGGGTCCTCCTTCTTGGGCCCACGTCTGTCCAGCCAGCCCCCTGCACAAATGGAATAGCTGAGGCCCTGCGGATTTGGGTTGGGCCTGGCTGCGCTAAAGGCCAAGGTAGAGCTGGGCATGATCTTGGGGTCAGGATCTGGCCTTTTCCCCAGCAAGAATCCACTCCTTCTCCAACAAGGTGTGTCTTTTGAGGGTCTTAACCTCACTTCTGCCCAGTAGCTCCAGGCTCCTCACAGGGCCTTGTTAGAGCCCTGCAGTCCTGCCTTTTGGCTTCCTGTCCATCTCCCATCCCTCTGTGCCCTCTGCCTTCTCACTCTACAAAGCCTTTGTGTTGTGTGTGATTCATTAAAGAGTGTTCCGTCACTGAGAATCCAGGCCATGTTTCTTACTTGCTCCTGATGTCCCAGGGAGTACCAGTGCATGAGCTCTCTGCAACTTACCATCTTGCAATAGGATCTTTTGGGCTCGAAGGCAGAGGCCCTTGTGATCAGTGGTCCTGATACCCCATGTGACTTTCCAAGGAAAGACACTGAGTCTCCACAGAACTGTGACCCCACATGTCCTTGGCCTCATCTTCTTGGAACAGGCAGGTTTCATCTTTCATCCAGGAGGCACTCAGTGCCATGCCCCCTGTGCTGTGCTGTCTGGGTCATGTCTTGAGGATTCCAAGAAGAGGTAGGGATTTGCAAGAGTGAACCTCTTGGATGTGCTTGAGAAATGTGTCAAGGCAGCATCATTGGCATGATTGGGCCCTCAAAGACACAGATGGCTTTGTACACACTTGCTCTGGCCCACACAGAACACCTGTTATAGGCCAGGTGCAAAGGGGACATGTTTCCATCCCTCATGGCCTCCCAACCTGCATAAAACACAGAAACCTCATCTTGGGATGCTCTTCTTTCATGAGTTCAGTGTTTGGAGTACAACACCAGGTCAAAAGCTCTCCTGGAGAGACTATGTCCATAAGGATTCACAGTGGCCTGAAGGTCACAGCAGGCAGGTCTTGGTGGGTGACAAAAAGTAGAGATTTTTATTCCTTCTCTTAAAATTTGTAGTATTTTCTGGAGGGTGTGTGTGCAAGAGAAAGAGAGAGAGAGGAGAGAGAGAGAGAGAGAGAGAGAGAGAGAGAGAGAGAGAGAGAGAACTCACAGATAGATGTGGTCATGTCACAATCCCTTCCCTCCTTTTCTTCATTCTGTCTGGATATTAGGCATGCACTACAAGTGCATGGCATGTTCATCAAGCCTCAGGGGATGTGATTTGAACCATTGTCTACCATGTGGGATCCAGGTCCCTATACACAGATCTTAACCAGGGTGCTACAAAGTCAGACCAATGAAGACATATTAATCAGAGATTTGAGAAGCAGACTGTGAGTGAGCCCTAGTATCCCTGAAAAGCTTCTCTGTTGGGAACTGTAGTCATTCATTTGGGAAAGTTGAACGCAGTGGGAATAATTTTATTCAGAAGCTGCAGAGGTCAAGAAGCAGCACCCTGGGACCAGCAGTTAGCGTAATGGCTATGTCACTGGACTCCCACATAGTTGACCGCGGTTTGTGTCCCGGACCCGGTGGCTTAAAGCTCACATCGGGCACATGTGCATGTGTGCCCAAGATCCCCAGAGGAGAATGGAGGAGAAGGGATTGTGGCATGGCCACCCTCCCAGGGGGTGATTTCTCGCTTTCTGTCTCTGTCTCTGTCTGTCTGGAGAGGCGCATGCACCCTTTAGCAAAAACTTCTAAAAAAAAAAAAAAGAAGAAGAAGCAGCAGCACCCAATTGTCAAAGTTGAGGTGGGTGTTGTTACCATGATGGACAACAGGGGCAAAGCACACCACAATAGTTTGACTCAATGGTCTTCCCATAGTGTGATAGTTAAGTGCTGTGCTTTGGGAACCAGATCCCATATGGCTACAGTTCAATTTCTGGCCTCAGCAGATTAAAAATGATGATTGCAGGACCAGAAGTTGGTGTAATGGATATGTCACTGGACTCCCATGTAGTCATTTCAAATTTGAGTCCTGGACCCGGCAGCTTAAACTCATGCCAGGCGCATGTGCGTGCATGCCCCAGATCCTGAGAGGAGAATGGAGGAGAAGTGGCCATCCCCTCTGGGGTGTGATTTCTTGCTTTCTGTCTCTCTGTCTGTCTCTGTCTTTCTGGTGAGCACACACACCCTATAGCAAAAATATAAAAAAAAAAATAAAAAAATGAAAACAAACAAAAAAACTCTCCAAAAAAAAATAAAGAAAAGAAAAAAGAAAATAATGCTTGGTGTATATGCATGTGTACCCCCAGATATTGGTAAGTTGGAAAAATATGGGGGGAAGGATTACTGCATGGTTATATCTCATTGGAAGGTGCTTTCTTACTTCTCTTCCTCTTTGTCCCTCTGCTTGTCTAATAAGCACTTGTACCATCTGTCATTAAAATAAACCATTTTTTTTTAGAGATTTTTTTGCTATAGGGTGTGTGCATTCACCCGAGAGACAGTCAGAAAGTGAGAAATCACACACCCCAATGGAGGTGGCCACTCTGCAACCCCTTCTCCTCCATTTTCCTCTTGGGATTTTGGACACGCACCCACATGCATCCAGCATGAGTTTTAAGTTGCTGGGTCCAGGACTTGAGCTGTGGCCAACTATATGGGAGTCCAGCAACGCAACCATTATGCCATCTGCTGGTCCTAAAAGAAAATTTTTAAAAAATAATAGTCTGAATTCAGTTACTCTATGACATTGACCAGTGAATCATGGTGTCCTGGTAGTAAAGTGGATAGGAAGCCTACTATATGTTTACTGGATCTCTATTGTATAATCAGAAAACGTCCAGGTGAAGTGAACAAAAGTTTAGTTCTCATAGTAAAAACAGAAGATCACTGCCTCTCAGTGAATTCCCAAACTTGAGTCAATTTACAGACCCAGGGATTCTTAAAGAGAGGGGAAGCCTCTTCAGAAAGGATGCTGGTATACTACATAATATTTATACTGCTGTACTCCCTCTTACCTAACCCTAGAGGTATGAATGAGCTTTTACTAGGGTAACTGCATTGGAAAAAGAAAAATGATCAGGCCTTTTGGGGACTACTAGACACTGAATGAATAGTGAGCCTAGGAGACCTGAATTGTCACTGTGGCCTTTTAGCTAGAGAAGGGGCTTATGAAAGTCAGGAGATTAAAGGAGTTTTAACCCATGTACAATCACAGTGGTTCTACTTGGTCCTCAAAGCCACCATAGGACCATTTCCCATTTCAGAATGCAAAATCAAACTATAATTAGTGATTGGCCGAATCTCCACATTGGTTCCCTAACCTGTGCAGTGAGGACTACTGTGGGGGGCAAGGACAGATGGAAGCCATTAGAGCTGCTTCTATGTAGAAAAATAGCAACTCCCGTAAGGAAAACTATGAGAAGCTAAAAAAGAAATTGAAAATGACATGAAAAAGTGGAAGGACGTCCCATGTTCCTGGTTTGGAAGAATTAATATAATCAAAGTGGCAATTCTTCCCAAAGTAATCTACATGTTTAATGCAATGCCAATCAAAGTACCAGACACATTCTTCACAGATCTAGAAAAGACAATCATAAAATTAATCTGGAATAATTAAACACCCCATATTGCCAAAATAATTCTACACAAGAAGAGTGGAATGGGTGGTATCTCACTCCCTGGCCCAAAAATATACTACAAAGCTGTGGTAATCAAAACAGCATGGTACTGACACAGAAACAGATACATGGGTGAATGGAACAGAATAGAGTCCCCAGAAATAAATTCCCAAACATACAGTCAACTGATTTTTGATAAGGGGTACCAGTCAATCCAGTGAGAAAAGGAAAACCTCTTCAGAAAATGGTGCTGGAAAAATTGGATTTCCACCTACAGAAAGATGAATCTGAACCCCTACCTCTCACCTTTGACAAAAATCAAGTCAAAGTGGATCAAGGATCTAAATCTAAGGCCTCAAACTATAAAATTGCTCCTGGAAAACACTGGGGAAACTCTAGGAGACATTGGGGTA